GGGGGGGGGGGGGTTGTCCTGCACACAAACAAAACATGCACTGCACGAAGCGCGGCCGGCCCGCCGCTGCCAGCTCTTCTCACCGTCCCAGAGCACGTGGTACTTGGCCGGGCGAGAGGTTCCCTGGAGGCCTCCGTGGGACATGAGGTAGAAGTCCCACTCCATGGGGTGGCAGATCCCAGTTTCGACCACGGTACCGGGGAAGACGTTGCCGGACTTGTCCTGGTCATCCCTGCAGCAAGAGGAAGCAAAGAAACGGGGGAGGGGGGGGGAGGGGGGCGCGTGCTCTTCTGTTTAGCATGCCGTAGCGGTTAGACCATTGACCACGCATCCTCGAGAAGGTGGAGCACTGTTCCTCAAGGGCAGATCGCCGATGGCCAATCGATCCTTCCTACGAGGGGGGGGTACAAGTAAGGACGAGAGAAGAGAGAAAAATACGTCAGGGACTGACTGCTGTGCCAAAATGACGATCTCAAAACGTGCCCTGCACAACGGAGAAAAATCCACGGACACAACAACATCGAGAACGAATCAATATCCGGGAATCCCCCGATACGAGTGACTGACAACAGTCGACGACGGCGACACCAAGATATAGAGCCACAATCGCAACCACAATCCCCTCCACCCTTTCGCAAAATATGTCGGTGACCATACATCTCTCTTGTCTGTTTTCTTCCCTACAGCCGAGCGCTTATTACGTGTTCGATTTTTCGATCGTTGTCCTCATTGACCTTACCACAGCCACAAACCACCCTCGCGTAAAAACTCAAAACGCCTACGTTCCGGTGATCAGACACGTGTCTCCCACACAGCTACACTCGGCCGCTGGCTAAGTTTTCGTTTCTCGGCCGCTGTTCTGACTGACCCCACCTGTTGGGCTGGAAGAGGCGGGTGTGGTGGCGCTTCTGTACCACGATGAAGGTGATGGTGGGGCGGTAGCCCGCCTCCAACGCCGCGCACGCCTGCTCGATCGCTCGGACCTTTGTCGTCGTCGCATATCACAACGGCATTGGCATTGGATTGCACCGCAAAACAAGAAATTCGTTGAGGGCGCCAGTCGACTCGAAGAGGACGAGGCATCACGAACGAAATGAACATCCACGGAGGAACAGCGCGCGTTCTTTGCGCAGAAACACCGAACAAAGAGCGAAGGCCGGCCGGCACACAACGACACCCGAGCAACAAGGAGCCAACAATTGCCAAAAGCATCAAACCCGGTGAACTCTTCGAGAACAACAGGGACAGGTGCACCAGCACCAGAAACTTGAGCCGGACGGCACTTTTCACAACAACAACGTCGGATCCATCATACACAAAGGGGCATGGTGAACAAAGCGCACGAATTTCACTCCGGCACACATCAGAGATTTACAGAAAAGGCGCGACAACAACAACAACAACAACAACAACAACAACAACAACAACAACATCTCCCCACCTCGTAGCGGAGGACCTCTCGGAACTGCCCCTCGCTAACGCCGTCGCGGAAGAAGATGATGCGGGCAGGCTTCGCGTTGTTGACGCGGTAGAACGAGATCAGCAGGTTCTTCACCATCGACGCCAGGTCCTGACCGACATGGATTGTTGAGGCATCAACGCGCCCGGGGATCGCGGTTGGTGACTTGCGATATCTTGGGGTCTGTTTCGTTGGCTGACGACTTCTTCACAACGGCCCGCAAGGGCTGCTACCTGATTCGATTTTTATGGCAGCCATGAGCATAACCGCCAAAGCCCTTTGTGCACCCGGCGATATGAAAAGGTTCATCCGACGTGCATGCGATCTAAGGACAATCCCACAACATCATCGCCCAGTCCCACTCCAAATCTTGACCTGGACAACCACCCTCCGGTGCTTCTGCACACAACAATCCCAGTTCAATTCTATTCGACAACACCACCCCATCCCGCAAAAAAACCCCACAAGATTTCATCCTTCCATCTGAATGGGATTTTCTCCTTTGCCTATCTCCTGCACAACGAAATTCTGTCCCACCCGCACATCTCACAACACGAAGCCTTTCCACGCACCACACGACAACCCGGCTAACCTCCTTCCGACGTTTCTACACGGGGTACATCTCCCATCCATCCCGATAACACTCTTCGTTCCACAGCCCCATCCTGCACACTCTACGGCAGCCCCACTATCCTACTTCCGGTGCCTTTGCAAGGTACAACCTTCCATTTCGACGACACCCTCCCGTTGCACTACCTCATTCCGCACTCCCATTTTCCATATCACGGTGACAAGTAACCACCTTCCGGTGTGTGCTTTCACCGTTCCACAACCCTATCCCATCCCACCCTTCCATCTGACCCGCACGTTCCCGTGTCTCTGTACCGCGGTATGTACAACCGCATAAAAAAAATGTCGGACAACACCATCGCGTTCCACGACCCCAACCCATCGCACTCTTCCGTCTCACCCGACTAACCTCCCGCCGGTGCCTTCGCACGGTACAAACCCTTCCATTTCGACAACACAATCCCAATCCACAAGTCCATCCCTCCCTTCCATCTAACCTGGACAACCTCCCCCCGATCCCGTCTGTTTCGACAAAACCATCCCGTTCCACAACCCCATCCCACCTCACTTTGCCATCTCACCTGGATAACTCCCTTCCGGTGCCATTGCACTACGGTACACTCCCATCCATTTTGACAACACGATCCTGTTCTACAACCCCACCCCATCCCACACATCCGTCTCACCTGGATAACCTCCTTCCGGTGCTCCTGCACCGCGACGCACGACCCGTGCCTCGAGACCCATCGATCCATGCTGGCCACGACGGCGGCGATGGACGGCTTCGATACGTTCCCGGCGCCGGGGTGGTTCACGTCGGCGCCGAAGACGATCGTGGGAGCCTGTTTTCACGAGAGAGAAGAACAAGACCCCCAAAGGGAGAGCGTTGACGGAACGGAGGGAGGGAAAGAGAGAGGAGAGGGGGAGAGAGGGAGAGGGAGAAAGCGAGAGGAAGAGAGAGGAAGAGAGAGGAAGAGAGAGGAAGAGAGAGGAAGAGAGAGGAAGAGAGAACCAGAAAGAAGGAGGGAACAACAACGACAGAATAGGGGCGAAAAGAGGTAGATGGAGCCGAGGGGACGACGGACATAGGTATGTGTCAAGAGACGCGGAAGACCTGAAAGCCAACATAAACGGGAAAATAGATCGCATCTTTCGAGGGGACGCGGGGGGGCTGGATAGTTGTGTCAAGCGATGACCAGCAGCCCCCGCCGTACAACCGTTTGTTCCGAGCAAACAAACCTTCCGCACGTCCTACAGCACTATTGCACGCCGTTTTGGTCATGTGTCTTACAAGGGAGTCTCATCGGCGTCTTTACCAAAATAATAACAAAGGCCACTACTGGTCCATTGCTAAAACCCTCCATCTTGTTCGTTGACTATGAAAATAGCTTCTTTGATTTTGCCTAAGCCACGAAAACTCACGTCCTGCACGAAGGGAAGCTTGTCCCTCGGCACGGCGTTGCGGCCGCCGAGCTTGGCGTTGATTTTGAGGCAAAGGTTCGCCAGGTACTGGATCTTCGCCGTGTGGACGTGCTTCAGCAACACGCACTGTTGTTGTTGTGGTTGTTGCCGATATATTTTCGAGCGTACGGCATCGAAGCCAGCAGCAACACATACGAAGCAGGGAATGGGAGGGGGGTCAACGAGTAGGCAATACTGTCGCAATGGGTGGTAGACGAAAAGGGTAAATAATGAGGAGCTTCCAACTACCGAGGTCCTGATGCAACAAGCACTGCTCCCGTAACAAATCAAAGCGGCCAAGATACATGTGAGCTGACGAAACAACGACTCAAATCCACATCAACCCCACCAACAAGCACGGACCGGTGAAACCAAAGCACGAGGAAATCAAGAAGAAAAATAACGAACATGGTGAAACACACCTGGCTCGGGATACCGAGCACGGTGTCCGAAGCGAGCTTGATCTCGCCGTAGTCCTTCGAGTCTTGGGTGGCCTTCGGCACCAGGATCAGCTGGCAGTCTACCTTGAACTTGTTCCTGGAATGGACGAACAAATTAACCACACCAAAAGGTTCGCCATAGCAAAGAGAGAAGCGGGATCAGCTGGCGGTCGTGATCGAGCTAATTTCCAAAAATTGCAAAAAATGTATCATACCAAGAGCAAACGAAACACATACTTCCTCAAGGACTCCACCATCACAAACAGCAGTAAAGCTACACCAAACGTGGTTCCTGAAAAAAGGCCGCCCACATAGCGCCAAGGGGTTTGGCCGGCTATCTCCTGGACACCTGGACACCCGAAACTGTTCCAGAGTACGAGACAAGGACAAACACATTGAGTAACTACAACAACCATTTTTTGCAATGCAGTTTTATCCGGGAATTTTTCAGCTGTGGATGGAGGTGAATTCGTTGTGAGTTTGCAAGAATAGTTGGAGTAAAAATCAACCGGATTTTACGACATAACAACTAATCGAAAAAAACAGAATATAGCGGCGACGAGATGACGACGAGGCTTGGCTAGCCGGACTAAAAACCAACCTGGCTGCGTCTCTGGCGGCCGTGAGGGCGTTTCTGGCGTAGGTGGCGTCGTCCACGCGCTGTTGGTTGGCCGCCACGCTGTCCGCCATAAGGATCGGCGGCCTCCTCGCGTCGGGGCTGACGTCCATCCCGTGGGTGCCCATGACCTTCACTAACTCCGACACGAAATGCTCCGCACCCTGCGGCAGCGTCATCAAATCGAGTCAGCAATAGCAAGGATGGCAGAGCGACGTTGCGGCAGCAATTAGTGTGAGAAACGGAACGTGAGTGATGGGGTCAGCAGCAGGCGGCAGACCGCAACCAATGTGGGAGAGATAGCGGGGGGAGGTAAGGCCGAGGGGCACACGGCGGTTTGAAGGGGAACGACAGAGAATGATTGGTAACCGAGCAGACGGCGAAGTGGAATCAAAAACACTCAAGCTTCCAATACTCCTTGGACGATTGCATCAACAAACAAAAAAAGGACTTCGTACCAGGTAGGTCGTTAAACGCACCAATGCCACACACACACACCCATGAACCACCCTTCACGGGGGGTCCCAGATCATGGCATTTAGACGCAATTCCTGTTTTCAACCGCACTGAGACTGATTTTTTTCCATTGGGCAGCCGGTCAGCGCGGTCGATGCTGATAACAACATTCAACCGAAAAAAAGCACAAACACAAAGCACACCTGTAGCTGCAGGTCTCGCTCCTGCGTGAAGCAGACAACCGCCCAGCTGACCAGCTTCTTGTTGTCGAACATTTTCTTGTCGCGGAGGTTCCAGGAGCCGCACTGCGGCTGCTCCGTCTGCTGCCGTCCAGCCTGTTTTTCGTTCAAGAGGTTCGACACCAGTTTTTCACGAGTCAAATGAACGTGTTGGCCGAATAGCAAGTAGTGCTTAAAATTCGAGACAAGTAAACGGTTGTAGGGATCAAGCACCGGTCAGAAGGCAACCTAGGAACCCAACGAAAGCATTAGACACATCTATGTTACGACATGTGCTAACACGTGCCTGAGGACTTGTTGCTTCTCTGTTGCTTTGGGGGATCTCCACGCCACCTGCCTTCAGACCCAGCATCACACCATTCTCATCCTTCCCCATCTTTCCGGGACAATACGAAAAAAAAAACGCGTAAGCAGGGACACCGCTCGGAATACCCCCGCACCTTGTTGTACTGGATGCAGGGCGGGGGGAGGATCCGAGCCTGGGTCTGGATCTGCTCGTTCGTGATGCGGATCCCGAACTGCTCGCAGCTCTTGTTCATGTCGGCTGCATACCCAGCACGCCAACGTCAACGCAAATGTTGCGCGGGATAAGGGGATACCCATGACATATGGCATACGGTACGGTATGGGTGTTTGGCGAGACAGAAAAAAGCAACCCAGCAAGGTTTGCAATACCCGCGGGATCTCCATGATCAACTTTTCCCTACGGCATCTCGCACAGTCCCACTGCATGCATCCAAAACACCGGGCACTTGAGGGGATAACCGACATGGGGAACGCAATACGTACTGTAGCTTCCCCGTACCGCGTTCGGCGTCTGATGTTAACGCGAGGTATGTGAGGTAAGTTTAGGGCCAGCAGCACGACGCCACGCAGGATTTGTTGTGGAAGCGTGGCGGCGGCCATAGTTTGCAATTGCATGCGTGCACCCAAAGGCCCTCGGTGCCTGCCAGCAGAGAGAGAGAGCTACCCTGCGCGCGAGCAATGAGATAATCAATGGGGTGCCGCAACCCATCTATCTTGCAGCTGGCGCAGCTGCAAAGCAGCTGCAAAATATATGGGTTGCGTGCGTCACGCTCACGGAAGATCTCGTTTCTCGCACGCTTGGAATCTTCCTCTCTCTCTCTCTCTCTCTCTCTCTCTCTCTCTCTC